GCGCGCGGCGGCCTCGGCGGACGCGCCGTGACCCTGCTCCCCGCAAAACGCGCAGCACGGGGTCAGTGCACCCTCAGAGCGGTCCGCACGGCCCCCCGATCGACTCGCTGGGAGGTGGGGTGCGACCCTCCGAGGCGACCCCGCGATGGTCCCGCTCCCCCTGCGCGCTGCGGCCTCCCCCGCTCCCACCGCGACTCAGCGTGTCCCGGCTGCCAGGCCTCCCGCCCGCCCCGGCGGTCCCTCGAACCCCCTCGGTGTCCCCGCAGGCCCAGCACCCATAGCTGCTGCCGCCGCGCCGCCCTCCTGCTTAGTATCCGAGCACCGCCTCCTCAGCGGGCCTGCGCTCATTGGCTCGCCGTTTCCTGCCTGTGTTGATAGGCCCGCGCAACTCCCGCGCTCATTGGACAGAACTGTCCTGGGGGGCGGGTACCTTCTAGCCCCGCCCTTCAGGGGGTGGGCGTTCAGCCTTGATCTACGTTCATTGGATAGCGCCGTCAGGGGGCGAGCTCCTGTTGTGAGTTGCTTTTCTGGAAGGGATCCGAGTTCGCAATTTGCGTCTGTTTCGCTCTGCGAGTCCCGAGATTGGAGGGGTGGTGGGGGTGGGGGAGAAGGGAGCACAGAATGCATTCAAAGTTGGATGGAATCACAAAGATAGAAAAAGGCTTCCTGTGTACTTTGCTAGGCTTGCACCACGACTCTTTGGAACTCAGAAGATTTTTCGATTGAAAATCGTCGAAAATCAGGAACATTCCCAAACATCACTTTTAATTCGTTTCCATGGGGTGAAGATCAGTTGCCTCTCCAAATTCCTGCTCGTTAGGAGGACCACCCTTGGAGGGGACTCTGCATTATTGGGTTTGAGAAGATCCAAGTGAAGAGAGCCCAGACAGGTCAATTCTTCCGTCAGTAAGGTTTTTTATTAGTTCATTTTGCTTTGTAGTCCATGTTAATAACGATAATGATAATGATGATGCCAGTAGTTAAACAAACAACTAAGTAGTTCACAGTCTCACCTACAGGTCCTTCTGCTCACTGACAATCTTGCTGTTGTTGCCTAATGTGCTACATCTAAATACACACTAAGGTAGACGCGCAACATGCATTCCTTAATTGGAACCAGGCAAGGTGGTAGTCTATTTTGCCTCTTTTAACAGATGAGGAGGGCTGGGAAAGTGGCTCAGTGGTAGAGCGCTTGCCTTGCATGCCTGAGGCCCTGGGTTCGATTCCTCAGCACCACATAAGCAAAAAGAAAAAAAGCCGGAAGTGGCACTGTGGCTCAAGTGGTAGAGTGGTAGCCTTGAGCTGAAGAGCTGAGGGACTGTGCCCAGGCCCAGAGTTCAGGCCCCACGACCAGACCCCCAAAAAACAAAAACAAAAAAACCAGATGAGGAAACTGGGCCCTGGAAGCTGCTGTACTTCTTTGGAAGCTAGAAATTGTGCGCACGCACACATGCACACACACGTTCGCATACACATTGGTGCCAGAACTAGGGCTTGAACTAGCTTTTTTTGTTCAAGGCTGATACTCTAGCACTTCCATTTTCAGCTTTTTTGCTGGTTAATTGGTGATAAAGAGTATCAAAGGCTTTCCTGCCTAGGCTGCCTTCGAACTGTGATCCTCAGATATTAGCCTTCTGAGTAGCTACTCACAAGGCTAATATAGGCGTGAGCCACCAGGCCCTGGCTAAAATGCTCTTCTCCCCACTCTCTAACTCTGCTCCTTTAGATAAATTATAGAGAAAATAGTGCTGCTTGCTTCTAGTTCTCTGGAACCACTCATTCATTCATTCATTCATTCACTCTCCTTCTTCTTCCTCCCCACCTTCTCCTCTCCTCTCCCTCCCTTTCTTTCTTCTCCCCCTAGTGTCAGTTTTGGATATGACATAGGTTTTTGGGTGAAGACCAGAGAAATCCTCAGAAAGTACGCGATGTTCAATTTGGGTACAGTGTGGCTTGCAGACCTTTCTGATCTGTATCTTTACATGGAAGTGGGAAAAGAAATAGGTCTGAGGACAAAGAAGGCTGTCAGTGGCTTAATGCAGGTTTGGTTTACTGGGGATGAAAATAAGGATTCCTGGGCTTGAACCCCAGTTCTGTCACTCATTAATCACCTGACCTTATGCAGTCAAAGTGTCTGTGATTCAGTTGCCTGGATGATAAATCAGGGATAAAAATAGTATCCACTTCATAGGGCTGTCGTGAGAACTTAATACTTTAATATTATGCTCCATGCAATATTCCCTCCCCCTTTTAATATTAAGGACTGAACTCAGGACCTAGTGCATGCTAGGCAAGTTTTTTGCCACCGTACTATACTTCTAGCAACTATTTTTACATTTTGAGATAGGGTCTTACTAAATTGTCTACAGTGGTCTCAAACTTACAATCCTTTTGTGGCAGCCAACAGAGGAGCTAGGATGACAGGTGTGAGACATCACACTCGGCCCTCTTCTTATTCCTATCACAAAAGTTAGGTGCTGGTTAATGGCTGAGCGATCTTTCTTATTTTGGGAGTCTCAAGGCTCCGCCCACAGGCCTCCCATGCCCGCCCCCTCAGGAGGTGCTGCACCTCTCCTCCTCTCGCCCCACCTCTTCCCTCAAAGTCGCGCTGGGCATGCTGGGACTTGTAGTCCATCCACAGAGTCCTGCCGCGGAGGGCCTCTCGGGAAAACTGCATTTCCCAGCATTCCTTGTGGCGGTGGCCGTAAAGCGCGTCAGTGGAACGGCCGGTTCCGGCTGAATGTCAGTGCGGGGCTGTGGGCCGGGGAGGAAGGTGGTTGGCGGTTCCTCTACCA